GAAACTTTGTTGTGTTTTTGTCATCTAGGGTCTGTCCGTGGATGGAGTAGGATTTGATGATGGGTTTGCGTTTATTGGTGACATGGAACACCTGACATTTCTGTGGGTTAAATATAATCAGCTAATCACCCTCCCAGCGTTGGAGCAAGTAAAGATCCTCTTGGAAACGTATGGCATATTCCTCTGTCTTAGTGTTGCTTTAGTGTACATGTACTCATGTAGCATACAATCTTCAGCAAAGAGCCTGGCTGACTGTTGAGTTTGGGGAGAGGTACTATGGCAGATAGTTGAAGAAGAGAAACAGCATTGGGTCAATAACACTGCCTTGCGGGACACCAGATCAGCCCAGCTGACCCATTGATATTTTTATATTCATAAACCCAATCTCAATTGGATGATCTGATTGGCCATCAGCTTTGTTTTGGTTCGTTGACCCAGAAATATATTGGCCGGGTCATGTAATAGCTTACAGTTTGAGTATATTGAACACTAAACAGCTCGTGGGTTCTGAGATGGAATTAGACAGATCCGTTAAAAGAAAGCCCTTAAATTTTGACGTTGACATAACCGTAAAGCTCTGTGTATAAGACGCACCCATATTTTTGTTTGCTTTTTAGCAGACACCTTAGTACGTTAGACTTTCATTTTGCTACGAGGTAAGGTTAATGGCGCCGATTTGTACTTGTGAACTTGTCACAAATAACATTAACAAAGTCGTTTTTAAAACTAAAGATGACAGACAAAGGAACAACTGCAGAATTAGGCCCAGACAAATTTTCCTCTGAGTCCAAACAGAAAGTTGGACAGGCTAGTTTTCGAGTGGTGAGTCGATATCCCCCATGTGAGTTAGCTGCAAGATACAGGTGAGTGAGCTGAGGGGGCATTATTTACTGAGACTGAAAAGAAAAAAACTCTCTCCTCTTCAAATTAGGAACGTAGGTTAACTTCAAATAGTATACAAATACTGCATGGTCCATCGTGCGTTAGTGGTAAATGCAGTGTATGCGAGGTTTCTTTAGATTGGTCCTGCTCTGCGCAAGAGCCGCTTGCAGCGAGTTCACAGTGAGCACCATCTGAAGATACCGAGCGTACACGCCACTTACATTACGCACAACAGGGTCAAGTGCGTTATTTGTTTTATAAACAGCGACACATGAATATCAAAACAAACGAAAGTCTAGATTTAATGTTAGAGTCTAGGAGAGTTATGTCAAGATAAGACCTTGCTAGTAGTACTTGCTCTATGTGTTCGCTGCGCTCAATATCGATCTTGGAGCGTGCAATGATACTTTTGACTTCGCTTTTTGGGCATGATCGTGCATGTCATGTGACGCATTTTGACCAATCAAGATGCTTAAAATACTAGAGCTATTTTATAATAGATCCTACTCTTTATTAGCATTATTTAATTTATGTCGAGACACAGAGATTGAAAACCATATGAAAACCATATGAAAACCACTAAAAAGTAGCATTTCGAGGACTCAAAATATCCTGTACCTGTGTATATGAGACGCACCCCTGACTTTTGAATTTTTCCGGGAAGGAAAAAGTGTGTCTTATTCTTATACATGTACATGTACTGTACACAGAGATTTACAATACAAAAGAAATATCTATACTTTCTTACTACGTCTGATTTATGAATCAAACAATTGGACATAAATGAAGAAAAACTTTAGAGAAAAATTTTCACCGCTTTCCGCCGAAAATCGCTAGTTTATAAAAAAATAAAGATTATCTTTTCTTTTATAACTTTCACACAATATTGATTTTCAAACCTTAAATCAATGAAATAGAATTATGGAAGTAAGATTAGCATGCAGGATTTGTCGCTTGAATTTATCGGTGTCTACAGGCCGCCATTATTGTACGCTTATTCGTTGCAAGATGGCCCTATTTCGCCCATCTCCACATCTTTACGAGTATTACCAATACAAAAAAACGGAAGCTCGCTGAGCAGTGCGGCTGTCAGCAGCGGTGGTACCGGTGTGCAAGCTGTCGTGCCATATCTGCTGGAGCTAGAGGCGATCGCAAATAATGAACCTCGACCAGCCAGTAAATCAACCGAAAGCTAAAATTAGTAAAAGGAAAACCTGTTGGCGTCGAGTCAACTGTTCGAACTTAGAGTCTCGATTTCCATTATTCAATGGAAATTTGTATTAAAAAAGAGCTCCTGTCATTAAAAGGTTCCTAACTTACAGGTGCCTGACTGTTGCGTATGGGTCCCCCAAATGTAATGGCTAATATAAACGTACATGTACACTGTACAGTAGATGCCTACAAATAAACATCCCTTGATACCGAGTCTTACGGACAGCCCACATGACTGACATAAATGTACATTGTACCTGTCTCATAGGCCTTTACCATTCAACAACTTTTCTGAGGGTTCAACTGACCAAAATTGTATTAAAGACCATCAAGACCACACAGCGAGGTCACTGACAGGTGGCTATCTCATCAAAGGTAATACAAAGTTTTGGGAAATTTTGAAAATTGGGTGGATAGTGAATCTTTAAAATTTGGATATATTTGGATGCCCCTGTGGATGTATTATAAGCAGTAAAAAAATTAACCCCTAAAACACTTCTGTTTTCGAGAAAAATTGAATATACAAATTTACCGGTGCTCCCGGTAAATTTTGATAAATTTCAAATAGCGCCTACGGCCGTACAATGGTAGCTGCGATCATGAAAATCTCAGAACATGTAGTTGTGATATATAATTTCCAAACGGGAATAGCTAATCGGTCGATTTTAGTCACGAAACATTGTTTCATAGCTAAATTAATATCTTGACCTTCAGAGGGAGCTATACAATATAAAGAGTTTATTATTTATAATTTCATAACTTTAGACTCGATTTCAACCGGGACAACGATCAATGTTAGGAACGCATAATGCTTCCAATATATTAATTTGAACCAAATTCATGACCCAATACCAAAACTTTGTAATACCTTTAACTCAGCTCTCAACTAACATAAGAAAAAGAGGATCATGGGGGACCAACAGGCACCGATAGGGGAATTTTCTATATAGAGGGAGCAAGTAACTACAAGTAGGACAATGGGGCTTTAACATGAGCTGTCATTCTCATGGGCCTTTGGTTTTGTGGGTTGTCAATCTACTGGGATGTACATGTACATGTACATGTAGAGAGCATGCAAAGTATCTGTGTATTTTGCACAAGAACGGTTACATGTTGTTCTGTATGTCAAGTCAGACAGATTAATATGGTCAATGGGTGTTTACTGTTTACCTAAACCTGACAATAGTTATGGCCTAGGGGTTCTTTTGAGTTTTGAGAAAGCAGTTAATTTCTCACAATTTGATATCTCTTTGACACCAAATTACGGCATCAGAAATTTATAATGTACTGAAATGAATAAAACACTTCTGAGTTATTGAAGTAGGAAAGTTAAGACTACTACACTCATTTATGTAGATCTTTAGGAAGGGGGGGGGGGAATTGATAAAGGGCACCTTTTTTTCCTACCTGATAGAAAATGTATTTACCTAATTTGTCTGAAGGAAGAGATGGTTGTAAAACCTGACAAAACTTCATATTTGTAAACATGCCAACCCTGACATAAACATTTCAGTCTTACATGTACAGGTAGTCTGCATGTGTACACATGAGTGGACATGTACAATGTAGTTTCTGTACATTGTACGTGTCCACCTACATGTACAGTGTACATGTATACAACTGTACATGACTTAGGCCAAATTAAAAAAAAACATGTTTAGCGTCCTGTTTTTTCGAAAAATAGGAAGGAGGAGGCCCTTTTTATTTTTTATTTTTTCTTTCAAAATGGCCGCTCAAAATGGCCGCTCGGTACATTTTCCCTGACAGTCGAGGCTATTTTTTTTCAAGATGGCCACCGACCATATTTTTTTTTTTTTTTAAATCAGAAATAGAGCCATTTTAGCAATGTTTTTCATGTTTTTTTTCTTTCAAAAAAAAAAAATTCAAAAAAAAAAAATTCAAAAATTTCAACAAAAAAAATAGGAGGCGGCCCCCAAAAAGGAAGCGGGCGGGGGCGCTAAACATGTATATTTTTTTTAATGGCCTTAATGTACCGTACAATGTATATGTACAGTATGTACATGTAGGGCCAACTGTAATTCTACATACATGTACAGGCCTACAAATGTACAGTCATGATTGAATTTTAGTAACTTTTTTGCTGTGTGAAATGAAATAGAATTCTTACATTCCTTAAATATATACAAACAGCAGAGCTGCTGTCTAAGAGATTCAAGTATTCAATGCCATGTAAACTAACATTTTAGGCCTACATGTAATGTATATTATATGGCTATGAGCGTACACATAATGGAAATCTTTATACATGTAGCAGGCCTACATATACATGTACATGTAGTGTGTGCATGACTTTCAGTGACTTGTGTAATTGAAGTAGATTTCTTACATTCCTTCAGTCTGCAAACAATGATGTTAATGTCAGATTAAAGTCACCCACAACTTATTGGAGATCCTCTGCAATAAACCCACCTACACATATTTGAGGTGAGTATGAGTGTCATACACTCTGAGTCACGCCTCCATTGAGTCTTCTATGGGAGTAGTCAAGATCGACTTTTACAGCCCTGCAATAACAATGTACATGTATTGTGTGCGGTATAGTCAATGGGAAGAACGTGTGCTGTTGCATTGTCTGTCTGCAGTCATAGAGAGTGTGGTGAGGGGCAGCACACCGTAGCACAGCACACACTGCACTGACTGAGACTCCTGTGCAAGAGGTCGTTTATATAGCCCTCTATAGTTGGAAGGACAGTGTAAGGGGACTTGGGCTATATTTAGATATGATGTCACGTGGCATTGCATGAAATATACCACTGACAAGCAATGCCTATGTACTATACATGTTACTGTAGGGTTGTGCCTTTATGCGCTATTTTTAGCAGAGGAAGTTAAGATTTTGTTTTTTAGTACTTAAATGAAAATGAAGGATCTACATATTCAGATGAACCATTTAGGAGTAGGAGTGCCAGAACTACATTGTACACAATGCACTGACCGTCATATTATACGGACCATCATATTATAGTTATACGGACCATTATGCTATACGGACCATCATTTTACCAGTAACCCGGTCTCGGTACACTTGCATTTTGCATTTGTTTGACTTATAGGGTTAGTTTTCACATTGGAAGTTGCATGGACCTGAATCCTACTTTACCAATTGTACAGGTACGGTACATGCATGTACAGTAGGTTTACATGTACATGTACATGTACAATGTATGCATGAATATGGTTTGATTAACTAGTTTATATTTTTAAATACATTTTTACCTGGGATGAGAAGTGGTACATACATGTTTATACAACAATACATGTATTACATACACTGTACAATTTACATGTAGTCCTGTGAGTTTTTTTTTTGCTGTAATTTGTTTTGTTCATATTTATTTTATTCAAATTCACTTGTAAATTTGTATTTGCTTGAAATATAATTAACGAGAGAAAACAAATGCTGTTAATATTAATCTTTTTCTCTTTACAACATTTTTCTTTCTGCAGTAAAAGGTCATCCTTGGTGGATAAAACCAACCAATCACGTAGCAGCAGGTTACCAAAGCTAAATCAAAATGCAGACGATAAAATGTGTAGTAGTAGGGGATGGAGCTGTGGGAAAGACCTGTCTACTTATCTCATATACAACAAATAAATTCCCTTCAGAATATGTACCAACGGTGAGTAGTATTTTTATTTATCATGTTATTGTTTGCAGTGTTTTTTTAACATCATTCATGTACCAGATGAGAGAAAATGTCCTACAACTTTCACTTATTGACTCATTCATTCTTTCATTCATTCATGTATTCATTAAAAATTCACTGTTCAATTACATGTAGGTTTATTGATTACATTTCATTAACACATGTACAAAGACTGATACATACAAAGTTCACATGTTTGTCATTTTAAGAGATAACAATTTACATAAAAGAAAATGACACTTAAACCAGCAAAAATGACAAAGAACAAATGTGTACTTTAATCTTTAATAAAAGATAAAATGCTGCATGTGCATGTAGGCGTTAATTGTACATGAATGAAAATCTAGAAACATTCATTGTATTGTGGCATAATCAGTTAATCACATAATGTTCACCCATGCAAACACCAAATATATCCATACAAATGTCAAGAAAGGGACAAACATGTAGACATTGTCCTTTTACATTAGATTTTGAATACATTTATTATAGGTTCATTTGCTGATTTATGTGCAGGTACTCAAGTCTGCACAATGACGTACATAATGAAAGTGATATACATGTACATATCAATTGTACATGTATGTAATCTTGGGTTAGATTAGAACAGACCATACTGTCACTAGGATATCCTGTGCAAGCCCACCATAGCCTGCGCTTACGTTTAAAGATCTCTTCCTGTTCCTGCTACAATGCTGTTATTGTTCGTTGTTTGACCCATATCAGGCCATTCCTCTTGAAATCTGCATGCGGTAGTCTTGCGCTTGCCAGAAGTGCAGACCTTTAGACATGCAGACATATCCCTGTTGGACCATGCCATATACATGTACAGTGTATGTACATGTAGATTAGTCTTTGTGCCATATGGAGATTCAGAATTTCAGACCTTCATTGCACCATTCTTTAATAAAATCTACATACATGTACATGTAAAAAAGTATAAGAGTTAAGACCCATACCGGCCCTTCCATTTGCAATCTGCATGGAGTAGTCTTGCACTCAAAGTACATACAGGTAGTCAGGTACTAAAGATACAGACTCATCCATTTTAAATAAATGTATAAATGCGGTAGTCTACACTTGCTACATATTCACACCCATTTCTTAAAACTTGTTTGAATCACCTACATTTTGTATTCCAAAACAGACTTTTGAGTCAGGTTTGCTTTTTCGCCCAATCATCGTACTGATTAAATTTGATTCTGATTAATACTCCACATATCACAATGAAATCAAATTAATTACATACAGGTATACTGTAGATTTATAGCCTACAACATGTACATGTAGGCCTATCCGTGTACAGCTCACATTTTTTCACTTTTCATTTCATTTATTTTCCACATTAAAAACCAGACAAATATACAAGGTAACAGAATACATTGTACACATTTGACACATAGAGCAAATGAAAAACAGATACATAAGCATAAAAGAACAATGAAAATCTACATCAGTTAACAAACATGTACATTACATGTAAGTGATACATGTAGTTCTTAGCAATTCCACTCATTTTATTTATGTATGATTTCATTCAACATAGTATTGACACCTACCAGGAAACGTCAAAGTAAACTCAGTTTTGAAAACGTATATTATGCTTCAAGTTCAAAAGAAATTAAGTCGGGACTGTCATAAAAGTCTCCCATGTAGTTTTGATTGTTTGAACAAATGCTGACATTTGGTCTTTATATTGTCAATGTAGCCTCTTGCGTGTCAAGGAAGTTGCATCCTTTCAGGTTTTACTACATGTACATTGTAGTTCCTGGTATTAGTTTTTCTTCATGTAATAAAGGGAATAGTATCGATTACGTACTGCATTGATCTTTGCTGTTCTTGAACAGTCATTTCTGGCTAGACCAGAGTTGCTGTTTGAAATACATGTACCAGTACTTCTATGAATCCACAAAGAAGTGTTCCCTTCCATTTAATACATCTAGATCGCTTTATATTAATAATTGGTCTTAATTAGAATTTGAACAGCTGAAATGTCAAATCCATTGAAAGTTAAATCCCAAGTTCCATGTCTAGTACCGGTACTACAGTTGTACATATGTGCTTATCAGCATTTTTTTTCTTCAACTATATTTTCAAAATTTACATTATTTGATACCAACGTCGTCGATAAGAAAGATATCGATGCTCAAACTTGAATTGCAGAACTTTTTTTATGGAGATTTATTTTTTTAACAAAGTCTGTTTACCTTTTGGATTCCTATAAATGGTATACAAGAAGCACATTCTATTATCAATTTTGCATTATTTAATTTTTACAACTATGCTTTTATCTTTTGTTTCATTCTTTTATATTTGATTTCACAGGTTTTCGATAATTATGCAGTAACTGTTATGATCGGTGGAGAGCCGTACACATTGGGTCTCTTTGATACAGCAGGTTAGTACTCATACAATGTAGTGAATGTACATTGAGGCATGGACATACATGTAAGGCGCGACCGCTCAGTGGTAGAGCAGTGGTCTTGTAACCGGGAGGTCCCAGGTTCGAAACCAGTCCATGAGCTAGTGCCCTTTGGTAAGGCATTAATCCTCATTACCAAGTCCCATAGAGAGGACTTACAGTCAGCGGTCCCCTGGTTGCTTATTCACAAGCATACACATGCTTTCCTAGCAGTCAACCAACCAACAAACTTAAACTTTGGTAAATCTAATTAGGTCTGTCATCATCAGCTCGAGTTTGCCAAATAACCGCTATTTTCAGACTCATGATATTATCCCGATGCTCGAAATTGCGTCTTCACCAGACCTACGGGTGTATACGCTCATCACAAACTATCTCTGACGGGCGCAATTTAGCGGGATATTTTGGAAACAAGACCAAGATTTCTTGGGATATTTTCTCGACCAAATATCTCGCTAATTGCAACTGCGGCTCATGAAGACGCATATTAAATGGCTAATTTGCGATCGGATAGTTATAAATATAATTGCAGGTTATTGGGAAAACTCGAGCTGATGAAGACAGGCCATTGGGAAAACTCGAGCTGATGAAGTCAGGCCATTGTGTTACTCAACAATGCATTAAAGACAGTTATCTCTTCTGTCTCCAAGAAGAAGGAAGTTTAGCTTTCTTTTCTTCTTTGGAGTACTGCATTAATGTCAAACTACACTACTCTTGAGCAATAATTACTGTGTATCGATGGTAGCCAAAAAGAATATCATGCGGTGGTGAGCAGGATATAGAATAGATTAGATTGTCGGTTTCGATTTCGGTTTCCTTGAAAAATCATGGTATCAAATGATATTACTTTCTTTCTAGTGTATATTTTGATAGACACTTAAAATAATAATGTACAGTGAATATGATATTCCTATTGTAAAAAATGGTATGTACATGTACATGTAGTTTGTATATGCTACAACTGCATATGGGGAAATGATGATCATCACAAACACTGTAATAGCGATATTGAAAGTTGTGCAGTAATGAAGTTTCCTATTTTAATCATCCTTTACTATGTATAAACAGAAGTATGTAGGGGATGGATTCCACTCATAAAACTGTGTTGCTCGTTGTTGTGTTCATCGTTGTGAAGCAACTTGAGAATATATTTACTGTTTTGTGGTTTGCATTAATGTATGTCTATTTGGAACCAGAAGGGGCGTTAACTCATACTGTAACACAGAGTGAATGCTGTTCTTGCTCTGAGCATACAGTTTATACATGTATATTCATAATCATGTAGGATATAATCTGGCTACATTTGATCCTTTATTTACTGGTAAGTTCTTTTTCTTTGTTTGACTGTTATCCACAGGACAAGAAGATTACGACAGACTTCGACCTCTCAGCTACCCCCAGACGGATGTCTTCCTCGTCTGTTTTTCAGTTGTAGCGCCATCTTCATTTGAAAACGTCAAAGAAAAGGTTTGTCATACTCTTAATATATGTACAGTGTATAAGGTTTGTATTTTTGAAAATGGCCCAAGCTCTGGTGATAGTTGACTAGTGTATGGAGTGTCAAGCTGTTTGGTTTTACAAATCAAAGTTTACTTCTGTAACAAAATTGTTGCCTAAATGAATCTACATGTAATTATGAAATGAAAATGAGAAAGGAGAAATTTTCCAGAAGAATATTTATTTCACAATAACATCTTGTTGTTGTTGTTCATTTTGTTACATGATGAGGGGTCGACACTTGATGCCCCAGAAATAAGTAGACTTAATTCTACCCACTTATTTTGGGTTACAAGCCAAAATATTTTCCAAGTCTGTGATATGCACACATACAGTGTAATACTAAATTATTTTCAACACATAACAAAACAAGAATTAAAAGGATTAATTACAACCTCTCTCTCTCCCTCTCTCTCCCTCTTGCTCTTTCTCCATGCTTGCAGTGGGTACCAGAGATCACCCACCACTGTCAGAAAACACCATTCCTGCTGGTGGGGACCCAGATAGATCTGCGTGACGACCCAGCCACCATTGAGAAGCTCATGAAGAACAAGCAGAAGCCCACGACGGGAGAGGCTGGCGAGAGGATGGCCAAGGAGCTGCGTGCCGTTAAATACGTTGAGTGCTCTGCACTTACACAGGTACGTTGGTACTCATCTCTGTCGGTTAGGAATGGGATCAAAGTCTTTCGGCAAGGCATTAATCTATATTTGCCGCTCCATACCCAGGAGAGAAATTGGGACCTGGTAGGGTGAAGAAAGCCTTTGGGTTAGTAATTGCCATATGCCCTCATGGTGACCTTATGGTAGAATTAATCCCCAGGGAGTGGAGATGGTGCACATTGTGCGAGAATGAAGCCGATGACCGGGGTATAATATCTGTATATGCAGTGTTACATGTAGGTCCATGGTCGAAGCAAGTCATTCTTGTAGCGTTTAAATTGACTTGCAGAGCAAAAGTCAGAACATGTGTCAAAGAACCAAATTACGAGTGTGCTGTATTGAACAGAGATAGGGAAACAAAGATGACTGTGTTGGTCCAGTGATGTGGAGGGTGGGAGGGGAGGCGGGCAGCGGCTTAGGTTGGGGAAATATCCAACATTCGCTCTTATGATGCTTATTGCACTTTTTCTTTATTTTGACATAGAGGGTGGGAATATGATGGTCAACCGAACACATCTATAGTCTTTTGACAGTCATTTAGAATAAGTCTCCCAACTTGTTCGGTTTCTCCACAAGTTTCAATGCCAGGATATTCCAAAATGTTTTAAGTTTAATACATGTGTGCATTCTGGCTGCTTTTGAATTAGGGGAAAAAAATGAAGAAGTAATTTGTCATTTTGTTGAACTTAATTTGGTGACACGACATTTGCTCCTGCGACAATTGCTCCGGGCTTTATTTCGTCTAAGATGTAGGGTTAGGGTTAGGGTTTCAATAGGGTTTTATGTTAGGTTTAGGGTTAGGTTTAGGGTAGGGTATAGTGTTGAATCCAGGGTTGAAGTTAGCCATTCGATTAGTGTATGAAATTTACAGCGGAGCAATTGTCGCCGGAGCAAATGTCATGGAATCCTTAATTTATATTTTGATTGACATTAAGCATATGATTGCCTTCTCAAGTGGACTCTTGGTTTCCTTTATACTGAGATTGTTACTAAATATACAACTGTGATTGATTTCTGCCTTGGAGATAGTCGCCCACGACATGTTCTTCAAGGTTCTAGCTTGAATCTCTTTTCTAGGCCTGCTTTCATCAGCTCGAGTTTGCCAAAATACCCACTATTTCAGACTCATGATGTCATCTCGGAGCTCGAAATGACGGCTTCACCAGACCGATACACTCATCACAAACTAGCTTGGATGGGCGCAAATTAGCCCACCATTTCCCAAATAGCGGGATATTTTGGAAACAAAACCAAGATTTGCTAGGGATATTTTCTCGACCAAATATCCTGCTCATTGCAACTGCGGGCTGATGAGGACGCAAATTAACTGGCTAATTTGCGATCGGGATAGATAAAATAGCGGGTTGTTTGGCAAACTCAAGCTGATGAAGACAGGCCTACTCTCTCTCTTCTCTCTCTCTCTCTCTCTCTCTCTGTCTCTCTAATATCTCTAATTTCCCTCTCTCTTTCTGTCTACCCGGTATATCTCTTTTTCTCTAGATCTGAAAATGTATACAAGATGGGTTTCCATGGGAACAATAAATGATCATGTAAACACAGAAGTGTTCCTGGTTTATTTCTAGTCATTCAGCTATTAGTCTCATTATGCAGTCTCTATCCTGCAGAAATGTTGAATATGCAGGAAACTGAAGAAATTTACTTTGAATTATGTGTCATTCAGTCAGGCTAGCAATGCATTTTATGGGGGCCCTTGGCCCTAGGTTATCATGGTTGATATGCCCATACACCTAAAAGAAGGGCAAATACTGATCAAATTTGTTTGAGATATATATAAGATTACAAGTATTTTCAGCAATTGTCTGGAAAAAAAAAATAGTATGCACTAGAGACAAAGTGTTAAAGCACCACTGCACTACGTATAGCTACTTGTGGCCTCTATATAGCAAACCATGCCTATACGGTGACCGTTGGTCCCCCATGATCCCCTTTTTCTTATGTTGATTGAGAGCTGATTTGATGAGATAACATCTGTCAGTGACCATGCAGGGAGGTCTAAACCCTCCTGGCCAAACTACTGTAGTGCAGGTGGGCTTTAATACCTGGTTATAAGACAGACAGTATCAGTAGCATTACATTATCTTGTCCATGGATTAACTGGAAAGGGTCTGAATAGCAGAGACTAGAAGACAGGTGGACATGTGTCACTGGCTTACGGGAATACAACCCTTATAGCACCTGGACAAGAGCTTGGCTAGTCTTCTTACAAAGACCTGTTATTACACTTAATCTGCAAATAGGACATCTGATTGCTTGGTTCCTTCTATGAGGCTCTTTGGGATTTGTTAATTATTTTTCTGTTGGACTGTTACGGAATGTGTTTCTTGCCAATGTATTTTAGCTTGTCTCAAAATTGGATGCAGAACTGAGTGCATTGATTGGACACATCTTAAAGCCTGTCTGTACTAGTGTAACCAGGGGGATTAGACCTCTCTGAAAGGTCACTGGACAGGTGGTTATCTCATCAACTCAGCTCTCAAATAACATAGGAAAAAGAGGATCATGGTGGACCAATGGTCACCAATTAGGCATTGTTTTCTATATAGAGGGAGCAAGTAGCTACAAGTAGTACAGTATGGCTTTAATGTCAAGCCCATGTTAAGGATAATGTTCATTGTCTTCATCCATTAAATCTCTATTTGTATTCTCTGTGTCATTACAGAAAGGACTAAAGAACGTCTTTGACGAGGCCATCCTAGCGGCTCTTGAGCCCCCTGAACCAGTCAAGAAGAAGAGGTGTCGACTCCTTTAAGAACCAACATCAAACGAAGGAAATAACAACAATCCACTTGCGCTCGCCTGGTCGGGAGTGAGCGTGATACCAACCTTCATTTAACCCCCAGCATACCGGTCCTATCACCCCAATCATGTACACTATATGGATATACCAAGGTCCGGTATATTAGGGGTTAAACCTGGGAGCTTGGGAGGGGGGGCCACGGGGAGATGATCGCAGCAGTATGCATGTAGGGGAGCGGGAGTTCTGAAGGGACTTCTCGTGCTAAGCTTGGCAAGAATTAAAAATGGTGTAGCGCAAATTTATTAGACTTATTTGAAATCTATCTTCAAAGAGGTATAATCAATGAGGTATACTGATGTTAACAAGAATCATAAATCGACTAATCGTATGATAATTTTGATAATTGCTTGGGATTTCATGGAATATGTTTTTTTGGGTTATTGGAGAGGTCATGAAACTTTGATTCATATCGGGATAGGAAGATTGAAGACGGAACAAATTTGACTTTCTTTGAAGGTGTTTGAATGAGGTTGTAGAAGTGGAGTGTAATAGAGTGTGTAAAGTTAGACTAATTGTCATTCTGCATAGATGTATTATATACCATTTTAATTATTCAGAAATCTTAAGGAACAGACATGAGTCAATCATGTAGATGTTTGATACAGATATGCATTTGTCTGCCCTCATACTGCGTAAATTGAACATGTTTTGCCTCAAAACAGGAAAAAATTGTTAAAAATGGAGATTAAAGAAATGAAACTTGGTGCCTATAGTGATGTAAATATCTGCTAGATTTCTGTGCCCTTGTTTCTTAATAGTGTTCCGACAAATGCCGGATAAAATGATGAGATATGGAGCGAAAGTTGACTTTGAAAGATTCCCATTTTGATTCTTAGAACGTTAGAAGATGATATTCTAACAGATTGATTTATCATAAGAATTAACCAGACGGATGGGTAAAGAGCGTTTGTGAAGCACATGATTGCGTGCATATTTGGAGGTTTGTGTTGATTTTTTTGAAGTATACCAGGGACTTATTCTAAAAAAACATCATTTTATACCAAGCTTGTGATTTTTCAGATATGTACATGTTACGATTTATTCTCTCCCCCTACTCCACGATGTTTCCAACATATGTATATTATCTAAACTAAGTCTTCTAGTAATGTATTTACTCAAATCTAATTCTCGTTTGTACATATATGCTTATCGTTTATTCTAGAAATATTACTATTGGTAGTGGTAGTGGTGTATGTGTTTTGTACACCAAAAGGTGTTGATACATACTGGAGTTCTTAAATGGAATTATAATGCATGGGGTAGATGGAGGAAAAGAAAGTTTTTATGAAATACTAAACAAGAAAGGGAAAAAATTTACTCGATCATCTAATTAGCAAAAACAATGCGTTCTGAATAATCGTTTTTTAGGGTTTTTTTTATCAGTTATTGCCTACACATTCATAACACATCTTAATGTACATTTTATTGTTAACTAATAGTTGTAACTAGCTTTTAAAATAGAAAGCTAAATGCTCAATTCTAAAAAGGATAATAAAAACGGGAGCGTTGTATAAATGTTTCAGCTATATGTATCTACATGTATGTACCGGTAGTAAAGATTAAGCCTGTTTTGCAGTCGTATCTCATAATCGTTGCTCTTTGAGTGTCGAATGGTTGACTATTTTGCAATCCAAAGTAATTGTTAGTGTTATATGACAGTGTTTAACATTCCTCACTATGGCTTGCTAGGTCAGGCAAACAAACATGGGTCACTTAAAGCTCCAAGTGAGGTCATGAGAAACTTATATACAAGACTAAATGGTTGTGGTTGCTAGTTCTGGTGGTTTTAGATGCATTTCTATCCTGCACTGTTGCATGGTATGAAAGTCATGATATTGTCAATAGATTAAGAATTGATTTTGTCAGGGCATTTGTAAAATATTAATGGTATGTATTTCAAACGATATATTTTTTTCCACGGTTAAACAAAATACAAGATTACTGCAGTAATACTGGATCTTTTATGCTAGAGCCAGAGCTAAAGATTTAAACGGGTGGACTGTAAAGTTATTGTGGGTTATTCAGATCATTTTATGAAACGCTCTGTAGTCTGTATACTTGGTTTTCATGGTGCATGCCTTGTGTTTCAATCTATATTTGCTCAACCATTGAAAGGGCAGCCGAAGTATGATGATGTGTACTTGTACGAGTCCATCGTGATGAACGGCTCTATTGCCTGTCCATTAAAGTTACATTTCTATTCACATTTTAGAGGGATTTTTTATTAAAAATTTACTAGAGGCTGTACACACCTAACCGCAAAAGGTTGCTAGAAGTTCCTAGAACAGGTTTTGGTAAGAATCCTGCATTCTCTCTTTGTGTCCCAGCAAACTTCTGCCTCTCCGTCTGAAACATGTCTGTGTATGTTAGTCCAGTGACCCGCTATATAACCTAGACATTCCGTTTGTGTAGATAACCATCGTTATTGCAGAGTCTACGCATAACTACAGATATACGTAGGGCTAGATACATGGAATGCATTCACTCAACTATGAAAAGATTGCATGTTTCTTGATAAATCAGCCATGATAAAGGATTATGAATAAAGCAAAGGAATAACATTAATTTCTTTAAAGAATCATTAAATTTAATTATGCAATTTATATTTTTGATGTTTCCTTTTTCTTTTTGTACAGTTGGAATTTACTTTGAAATATGCATAAAAGCACATGTACAGAGTATCTATTCATCATTGAAAGGTTCAAAGAAATAAGGTCCAATAAAGATTTTTTTTCATAATGATATTCATCTTATTTCATTACTATGATTTAAGAAATTATAGGATCATTAAGATTTAAAACAACTTTGAAATCTCTCTCTTTGTGTTGCGTTTGATGTGTTTAGCATGCTGTCTGTAAACCTGTCAACTCTTTGGTTTCTTGAGCGTCTCTAACCTCTTGTATATATAGTTTCAATAAGGGCTTAGCCTGCATTTCATTATGTTGCATGATTTGGGCTGTGGTTTGATCCACACACATTACAAAAACATTATGTAGGTACATACATAAAGGCAGAATTGTACCATTAATTCATACTCTTTGTAGATGCATATTCATACGGTATGTAAGTGGTATAGTTTTTCTGTTGAAACCAAGTATTACGATACACCAAAACTACTTCATTGGAGTAAATTTCAGTGAAGCCATTTTCATGTCTTGTATGATGTTTTTTGTTCTCTTTTTTTGGTGATAATGTATCGTAACATATCACATGAAAAGTTATTACGCATGCTTTTGTTATACACTTGTATACCTATACCTATATTTTTTACATTAATTACAGCTACCAGAAAAAATGTATTGACAGGGTTGCATTTACTGACACAGTCATCGCTGTTCAGAGAACGTTTCACTATTTATAAAAACGTAACATAAAAATCATATAAACCTATAGCGTAAACCTATCAAGTTCATGACAAATGGAAGATTTAATGTGACAATTGTATTGTATTTCTTAAAGTATATGATTGTATTTCTCCAGTATATTAGTTTTTTGAAGTATGCGATATTATCTATACTCTGTATATCATATCTGGCTGTCAAGCAGGCCATGTCTGCGATTTCAATGTTTGGAAAATGAGCACTTGATTTTTGAGGTCTCTGTATTAACATCTATGAATGATGTCGGATGAATGAAGTCAAATTTAAAATGTGTAAAATGTTACCAATAAGTTACCAATAAATAGGGAAAAAATAGTCAATGTGTCCACTTTTTAGCACTTTTGTAAAAGAGTTACTGAGTGATGGATGGTGAAGTAAGTCGGAGGGAGTAGGGTATCCCAACAAAAGTCAGTGCGCCCCTAACAAAAAGTTAAATATTTGAATGTAATTTGTTACAAAGTTGTATAAAAACACAACCCTAGAGCAATGATAGAGAGGGTATACTGTGATACATTCATAGGTACACCCAAGGTCATACGACCAAGGTCAAGGAGTTACCAGGCGAGTCGGCTTCAATGAGAGAACAAGTAGATGCTCGTTAGTTGTCCCTCCTTCCTTTCAAACTCCTTGGTATAACATATTTACTCATTGAAAACGGCATAGTGCTCTAAGGAGTTACATTGGATAATTTAACCTTTTCAAGAGGGGGTGTGCCCACTTTTATTGGATACTGTAGACCTTGTATTCTTAATTTTCTGAGAGGAGTTGGATTGTGAGAGGTATAGAATAGAAACTGAGAACAAATTTCCTTACATGGCTACCCAGTTTACAGGCAATTTTGTCTGTTTGGAGCCTTAAAGGCATTCAGTCTGTGTTTAAAGCTAATCTTGAGCTCTGGTCCTGTCTCACAAAGAGTTGACATTGATCTGAATCAATATCAAGTCCTCCAATCAATCACAAGTTTGCAGTCTCCCATTTCTTATGTACATAGTTGTGATTAATATCAATCACAAATACGTTGCGATTGATATCAACTCTTTGTGATACAGGGCCCAGGTATTGGAATCGTATGTTGAGAGAACATGGCTATAATTCAATCTGGATTGTCTATCCTGCAGTAGCTTGATTGTTTGACCAGTAAAATAAAAACAAACCCACAAAAAACTTGCTGGAAATCATCTTCAATAAAAACCACAACTCTAATTTGCACATAATGACATGTGTTAAGCACATATGGTGTCAGGCGTACTTAATTACCTTGATTTCCCTATCTTTGTATGTTCATTACTTACGCATTTTACTTATGCATTTTCTACCAACATCGTTTGGTACATGTCGATGATTAGGAATCTTGAACATTCAGTGTAAGTTTGGTTGGATTCTGTGAGAATCTATTTTCTCTCATTACCTGCCAGAACTCTAGCTTATCTTTAAGTGACTTAATGCCCTTCTGGTTCCTCACAGACACATTGTGAACATTCAGATGAAACATAGGTCATGGTCATTGAATTGTTCCTCGTATTAGCCTCTTTCTAATTGTTTCCTCCTTCCCTGTTTCGCTGCTTTTCTTCCTCGTTGTAATTGTTTTTAAAAATCCTTTTCATAATATCCTTGTTCATCTCTTCCTCCTGTTACCTTTCATTATTTACCCTACGGTTATCAACATGTTTTTGTTTTTTTTTATTTGGCAGGATCAAGAATGATTACAATGTCTGATACAATGTTCGTTTTATGATAGATAAAACTATGGCCCTTTTAATTACTATTTTACCATATCTTTTGCAATTTTCATAGCAACAAATACAATGCTTAGGCCTACAAACTTTGCGAAGTCACATATTGCAATCTTGCAAAATCCCAAAGGTACCTTGTTATTTAAGTGAATTTCTTTAAACAAAATGCATATAAATGAAAAAACTATATATTCGGTTACAAATGTTGTCTCTGAATTAGACAGTATTTTCTCTCTAATTTTTTTTCTCATTATACTAATTCATGATATGCTATGATAATTTATCTGACATCAAATGTCGATTGTAAATTGACTGTTTGCTCGAATTTTATTTATCTATGGTAGGACCTTAAGTACTTTTTTAATGTCACTCCTAAGGTTTCTTCCTTCTCTCATAGGTTTAACTTACTTCAACTACGAGGGTGAAATTATGTTTAATTGATAGAGCTGTATATATGGCCTTTGATAAGTCTAATTTTCTTCACGAAGTGACACCATATCGACCACCTGGTCTTGTAATGTACTTCGTGTGTTCTTGATAAGAGACTTCCTGTATCAAACCTTCGCTCAAGTGACGCATGAAATGATGACATCATCCAAAACTCGTCATGATGACTGTATAGTATATGAGCGCAGAGGGCGATATAACAGAAAAGTCATAGCAGTGTCCGTCGAAATCTTCCACTGGGCAGAAGCAAATTTGGCCAAGGTTTCGTTTTTTTTTAATCATCGGTGGTTTTTATTAGCATCTTGTGTCTCATTTTCTAAATATTCTTCTTTTCTCTTGTTTTACTATTCCTTTTCCTCTTCTTCTTTTTCTTCTTCTTCTTCTTCTTCTTCTTCTTCTTCTTCTTCTTCTTCTTCTTCTTCTTCTTCTTCTTCTTCTTCTTCTTCTTCTTCTTCTTCTTCTTCTTCTTCTTCTTCTTCTTCTTCTTCTTCTTCTTCTTCTTCTCTCTATGGAGTTATTGTTAATTTGGTTTGGTTTGGAGGACTTTTCTTTCCTCCTATTTAAGGAAAAAATCCTTTCGGTAAGAAACTTGCATAATTATGGTTTAATGGTGGCTCCAGCTTCATCTATATAATTTGCGACGAATACATTTTCATCACTGAGATTTTCGATTTAATATTTGATTATCATAGTCGCTATCATAATCGTTCGTCATCATCATCATCATCATCATCATCATCATCATCATCATCAATGAGATAACTTCATCTTCGTCATTATTTCGATGCATCACCTTCAGTATGTCAGACATGAAATGAAATGATGCAAAATGACAACAAAAATAACCTCTTCTTTTTGCCATTTTGCATCATTTCATTCATCGTTAAAGATATAGACCAGTTTTTGAAACGCTCCCCTTTCAATGGAAGCTCTTATTACCAATCATGTGAAATAATATGTTTTGACTAATACGTGATGATACAAATTTCGCCGGTAAACCGCCTACTAATTGATATATTTGGTAAATTATCGTATTTGATTTGATTTGATTTATTTACCAACAGCAATACATTTCATACATTTCATACAATAATTTACATAAACAGGAAGAGAAACTATTGGTTGGTAAAAGGGGCCAGATAATAGCACATGTGCTAGTGGAGCCTAACCCCTTAAAGAGCTAAACAAAGTATTTTGGTACAAATCAGTTTAGAGAACGTAACAAAACAAAAAATAATGAATTTACTTTTACAATCGATACTTAAAAAAACAAAAACAAGAATCAGTACTCAACAATGTCTTACAATTTTTTTTTTTTTTTTTTTTTTTTAAACATCACTTTATTGTTCAAACTTGCACAACAAAGGAGAAAAACTAATAATGTAAAATATGAATTATGAATTGTGTACACTTGATATTTCATTCATGACTTGTTCAACAAATGACTTGTAACAGAATTCCGAAACTTATTTCTAGACCTTGTCAATCTGACATCAACAGGTAATCTATTCCAAAATTCACTGCCCACAAAAGACAATGAAAATTGACCTTGTGTCGTTCTTAATTTTGGAAGACGTAATTCACCTTCTTTTTGTCTTGTGGAATAGCTATGTTCTTTAATGTCACAGTACTCTATCAAAATATGAGACAAATTTCCATTGACTAGATCAAACATGAAAGTAGAAATAGATAAATCATGTAAATTATTCACATTTAGGATTCGCAATCTTTTAAATAATGGATCTGAAGGAGTTCTCCATTCACTAAATGTTATAGCACGAACTGCCATTTTCTGTGAATATAATATACTTCTTAGGCTAGTCTTATAAGTGCTTCATCACACCTCTATTCCGTAAGAAATGCGTGGTTGTATAAATGCTTTATATGATAATAATATCAGAGTACGGCTAGGAATAAAATGTCGCAATCTAAATAGCACTCCAAATTTCTTTCTAATACACTGATTTACAAAACGAATATGACTGTTCCAAGACAAATGTCTATCAATATGAACCCCAACAAAAGTGGCAACATCAACCTCTTTAATTTCCTCGCCAGCGATTTTTAGTTTACCATTCATACCTATTTTTTTCCTCCTACTATTAACATGAAATTAGTTTTCATGGAATTAATTGTAAGTTTGTTAGCAGTGCACCACTTATGTATCGTATGTATGTTGTTATTTACTTCATTTACATCTGGATAGATATCGCGAATGCACTTCAATATTGAACATTTTGGGCACATATTTCTGCTTTTTGCGAATTCAGGTTAAAGTATTGTCTGAAGGCAATATGTAAACAATATTGAACCGCAATACCCCTTGAACCGCAATTTTACCACTACCGGTATATATCTTCAGGCTCGTAGGGTAAAGCTACAGAAGGGGCAGGGGCACCCATCACCCTCCATCGATTAGAAGAAAAAGAAAAAACAAAAATGAGAAAGAGAAAGAAACAGAAATGACTGGGCAGACGTATGTCTTTTTGGGTATTGCTTCATATTGTTTACAAAAACTATCGCACATTAAATTGGTGTTCATCATATACAAAAAAAAATAAGGGGACCACCAACGTCAGACACTGCTGCAAGATGTTGCAAGAAGTAGGGCGCCCTACAGCGTTCAGACATTCCAATCCGGGTCATATCTCGTAGCTCTGAGCATATCTGAAGTGAAAATAATACCAACCCAGGCAATCGTCAAAACTAACTAAATCGCAAAAGTCCCTAAAAATCTTATTGATTCGAAACATGGAACATTGGCTACCAGTATATGATTCAATAATGGTGATTATTATCCGTGAAGCACATTAGAACAGTACTATATACGCAAAAAATGATGAGTCGGACCAATTTTTGCTGACCTGACGGTGAAAAAGAAACTGACCACAAATGTTAAAAATTACCTGAACTCGCTTTCTAAAATATAACGGAATTTTATTCCGCCAACAACAATTAGTTTCCACCTTTGATTTCAAGTTGTCTGAATAACTATGATTTACTGACAGAGGTGTTGATTGCTGAATATGAGTTTCATGATTCATCAACCTTCCAAGCCGCAGCACTGGAAAAAATGGGGAGGGGGTGGGGGGTATCTTGTTTAGTAATCGTCTGATCATGCCGTTCATTTTGTTCTATTAAATAAAATTGTATTTGCTATTTCTGTCACACTTTGGGATTACCGAGTCAGAATCGTGACGGCATTCCACGTCACCAAATGAAAATATTATCAAATAACCATTGCCAACTATATACGCAGGCATTATGAGGAAGCGATTTATCATAGTGACGGGATGCAAGCTACAGTAAAAGAGGGTGGTCAAAATTACCACAAAAAGTACCACAAATATAAACTCTTGTGATTCTAAATTTTTCCGCAAAAGTTTGGACTCTTCATGTAGTGAGAATTACAAAAAAGTTACATTAGACTATTCGGGCATCTCACTACCCGAATTTGAATATTCGCGTAGTGAGATGCCCAAATTTGAGGTGGTCGATAAAACGAAGAAAATCCTGGGGGTTGCATCCCCCTCCCCTTTCCTCTCTTCCCCGTATGTCTACGAAGACAAAAGCACCACCATCATAAGATGTAGGATTGTACTTCTAACCTGCTTTGTCAGCTTTAAAGATTTGCACAAAAATGAGTATCGATCGCATAACGTGCGATCGGACCAAAACCGTCTGCTAGAGTTCTGATCGCACTGATGCGTATTTTGTAACCTCACCAGATTCAGTGTAACCCACGCAAAAGATACACCTGCACAAATTTCATCCATGGACATTACTTTGGAATAAAAACAATTCATGACCTTCTTCTGGATTTGGATGTGACGATGATGGCCCCCGCACATGATGGATTCTGTGTTTTATGTTTAATTTTTGTGATTTTATCGCTGGTGTTGGTGCAGACGGCAAGTTCGTTGCCTCACCAATCGAGAAGAGGACCTCATTGGGTTGAATGCACTACGCCGGATAGAGCCCTGGCG